ATAATAGACGCCTGTCTACTCGTTACCTGTCAGTGCCCTTTGACTTGTATCAATACCAATGTACACCAACCGCACAAAGCAATTCGGACGGTGCTGGTGGACACAGGTCCGCCATGCTGAGAGGACGCCAGGGTGAAAACCTTTCCATTTTAATATTTTGTGGATATCAACAAAGAAAGGTTCTACTGCGACCAGGGATTGCTGGCCGGATACGTACCATATATCTATACATTTGTAGGGACACATCCGGATACGAAGCTTCGACATTTTTTCGAGCGCAGTTTAGGCTTCCACACAATCCAAGGACGACCAAGCATGGGCCGCGAAGACCGACGTGGCGAGAACCTCATCGAGGGCAAGAACATCGAGTTCACGACGACGTCGGGCCTGGACGTCGTCCCGACCTTCGAGGCGCTGGGCCTCAAGGAAGACCTGCTGCGTGGCATCTACGCCTACGGCTTTGAGAAGCCGTCGGCCATCCAGCAGCGCGCGATCAAGCCGGCCGTCCAGGGCCGCGACCTCATCGCGCAGTCGCAGTCGGGTACGGGTAAGACAGCGGTCTTCTCGATCTCGATCCTGCAGTCGCTCGACTGCAGCAGCAACGAAACGCAGGCGCTCGTGCTCAGCCCGACGCGCGAGCTCGCCGAGCAGACGCAGAAGGTGCTCTTGGCCCTTGGCGACTACATGAACGTGCAGTGCCATGCGTGCATTGGTGGCAAGTCCATTGGCGAAGACATTCGCCGCCTCGACTTTGGCGTCCAAGTGGTCTCGGGCACGCCGGGCCGCGTCTTTGACATGATCCGCCGCCGCAACCTGCGCACGCGCAACATCAAGATGCTCGTCATTGACGAAGCCGACGAGATGCTCAACAAGGGCTTCAAGGAACAAATCTACGACATTTACCGGTACGTACTGCCATGTCCATCGGGCGACGGGCTCATTGCACATGTAGGTACTTGCCGCCGTCGACGCAGGTGCTGCTCATTAGTGCGACGATGCCGGCCGAAGTGCTTGAAATGACCAAGAAGTTTATGAACGAGCCCGTCAAGGTGCTCGTGAAGCGCGATGAGCTGACGCTCGAGGGCATCAAGCAGTTCTTCGTCGCCGTCGAGAAGGAAGAGTGGAAGTTTGACACGCTCTGCGACCTCTACGACACGCTCACGATCACGCAGGCCGTGATCTTTTGCAACACGAAGCGAAAGGTCGACTGGCTCACGACCAAGATGCGCGAAGCCAACTTTACGGTCGCGTCGATGCATGGCGACATGCCCCAGAAGGAGCGTGACGCGATCATGCAAGAGTTCCGGTCGGGCGGCTCGCGCGTGCTCATCACGACCGACATCTGGGGCCGCGGTCTCGACGTGCAGCAGGTGTCGCTCGTCATTTGTTACGATCTCCCGAGCAACCGCGAACTCTACATCCATCGGTAGATATCTCGTCATCTGGATGCCATTTCTGACATGTTGTGCCCGTAGCATTGGTCGCTCGGGTCGATTTGGCCGCAAGGGTGTGGCCATCAACTTTGTCAAGGACGAGGACATCCGCATCCTCCGCGACATTGAGCAGTTTTACTCGACGCAGATCGACGAGATGCCAATGAACGTTGCCGACCTCATTTAAAGAAGACCGCCTTGACCAGCGTCGCGATTCGAAAGACTAACAAATACTGCGTGCTATCTACGACAGTCTGTCCATGCTTCGCACGCTACATATGTGATCTCTCGAATTCCCTGTTGTGCATGTGCTTCACAAACTCATTTCAACTACTCCAACGAAAGTGCTGTACCGGTCTAGTAGTAGTAGATTTTTCCTGGCTTTGAAGCGTGCCAAAAGAATGCCGATGCATTCATTTGCCTACTGGTGGTTCGGTCGAAACTGTATGAGAAAACTGATGGAGAGATTGAGAGTCGATGGCGTCTGCTGGCAAGCTCGAAAAACATTGCATTTCGATCGAGCTACTACTAGTAGTTTTAGCTATTAGCGAGAGGCACTCTAAGAACGTGGGCTGCCCCACGATCGGATCGACCAAGGTTATCCGCCGGTGCCAAAGGAGTGGCGTGGATAGGGACGCGTGGATAGTTCGATATCGACGATGAAGAGGGAGTTTCGACCGTTGAGGTCGGCTCCTGCAGGAAAACTCAGTTCTTATCTTGCTTTCTGGTGCGCTTCTGCGAAGGCCGCTCGGTGTGCCAGGACTGGAACCACCTCGCAAGGCGTGGGGAAGACATCAGCATGTCCAAAAAACATAGCATTTCGATTGAGCTACCGGTACGTCCATGGGCGACATCGAGGGAAGCAAAAACGACCAAGGCGGAGTGCCACGGCTCCTTGTGCTACAGCCGCTCATCAAACAAGAAAAAATGTGCAAAAACGTCAATAATTAAATTTAAATTTTGTGGCAACAACCAACCACTCGATGACTATTCATTCTATCGCAACGACAAACGACCAATTTCACAAGCTAACGGTGATTCTACCGCGACGACACATCACCCGAGGTACGCGGCTGGCAGTACGGATGCTGCAGCACCGTGGCCATGGACGGACGCAGCGCCGGGTCTGCGACCAAGAGCAGCGCCAGCATCTCGACGGCGTCGCTTGGCAGTGCCAGTCCCCACGCGCGGATAAGTGTCCGGATACCAACGCGCTGGAGGAAGCCAAACACTTCGTCGGCCTCGGACGACGACTCGACGAGCGTGACGCCGGTGAGCAGCATCCAGAGCACGATGCCAAGGGACCAGACGTCGACGGTCGCCGCGCTGTAGTCGCCACTGGTGTGCCATCTCGGGCGCCATGTAGTAGCTCTTCCCGACCGCATGTGTTGCCGTTGCAGCGAGCGGCGTCGCGAGGCCAAAGTCGCCAATCTTGAGTTTGCCGTTGGCATCGACAAAGACATTTTCGAGCGAGAGATCGCGGTGCGCGAGGCCGCAGCTATGGATGGCCGCAAGACCACGCGCGATCTGCGTGAAATACTGCTGCGCGAGCTCGGGCGTGCACTTGTGCATGGGTAGCTCACGCAGGTGGTTGTACAGATCGCCTTTGGCGCAGTGCTCGAGGAGGAGGTAGTGGTGCGTGCGCTTGCGATCCATGTGGCTGCCGTAGCAGCGCAGGACGTACTCGGATGTTGTCGCCGCCTTGGCTTGAAGAGTGTCGTAGGCGCGCACTTCGCTCGCGATGGCGGCGTGCGTCGAGCGCGAGAGGCGCGTGCGCTTGATGACGCACATGGTGGCGCGGTCGGTGTCGTAGGCAAGCAGAACTGCGCCGTCCGACGTGGTTGCCAGCGTCGAGGTCTTGACAAAGCGTTGCATGTTGTGTGTGGAGAAATGGAAAGTGAGCTGAAGCGTCGGTGGTGTGACTGACCCTTGCGAGAGAAAAGATCACGCGTGCCACGTCGTTTGTGGTAAAAAATATAGAAGGCCGAAGGAGACGGTTACTTTACTAATCACAAGCCGCTGCGATTACCGACCCACCAATGACGGGCCGATGTTTACAATTTGTAGCACAAGTCGCTTGGGTCGAGTCGCAAACCAATTGCGCAAAAGGTCTTGCAGTCGCGCAAGGGATCGGCGATATGGTGCCAGGCAGCACCCGGGGCAGAACCCACCGTTTATCGCCTTGAGTGTGGACGTCGACATCCATGGGCGAAACTTCGAATGCGCGTCGAACGATTATGGTGGGATATTCTGGGGCGTAACTAGAATCCATGGTATCTCCTTCGGCGGTTTCAGGGCACATTGTCGCAAGGCAGTGTCGCCAGCCAGGTCGCCAGCAACCAATTGCGTTGCAGGAGGTGCTTGAAGGGACGCTTCCTCTGGGCACACGAAGCATTTGTCTCGTGCGCAGACCAAGCACTGTACACGGTGCTTTCGTACGATCACGCAAAGACACGTAGCGAGCCGATGTGTCAATTCTCTGCCGAACATTGCTGTAGCCAGTCGTTGGACATTTTGGACCGGCTATCGTGGCGGTGCTCCTTGCTTTGCGAACCGTTGGCCCCAAAACAGTTTTTATGTACACAACCACAGTGCAATGGTACCATATTCGCTACAGCGAAGCACCCCGTGCTTTTTATAACAGAAAAGATATACGATCTATACCGTGCCCAACCGCGCGGCAAAAGCATTCCAATACAGTCGGTCGATACGACATGAGCGAGTTTCGAGTGCGAGATATCACGAACGCACGAAGATGAAGGCGGTCGGCGCCGTCCGACGATCGCCTTCCGGTCGTATGTAGTACATCTCTCCAGCTGTTCCATTCGAACAGTTTCACCGGCCGAGATGCGTGTAACTGCCCGTGATCAAGTATGGGCGTACCACAGCAAGCCCATGGACGAATCGGTAACACGCTGCACGTGCACGACAGGCTCGTTCAAGAGTCCGAGCAGCCTGCTCTTCGTCGGCGTCTCGCACAACACGAAGGGTCACGCGGACGACCTCGGATCGCGCTCGAGTCTCCGTCTTCCTAGACCAAGTCCCTCAATCGAACGAAGAGAGTCGACAGTGGTATCACTGCATTTCATTTTAAAGGATCTGTATTTTACTTCACGAACCACGTGAACAATTGCCCGAGATCACAGCCGATGTCACGGCGATGTCATCAACCAACATCATTCGGATATATGCTACGATATCCGGATTTCGGATTTCGTCCGCTCACATTGATGCAGCGTAACTTGACTACCGGCAGTACTGTACGTACATTCGGCGTAACGCTGGAGCAAAGGTCGTGGTCGAGACTACCGCGCTGTCGCTCGAGCAGAGCAATAGCGTCGATCGAGGGTCGGTACCTCGTTCGACTCGTCGACCATCAAGGCAAGCTTGCCTGCGTCAAACGAGCTGCTGACTATGGGTTAATGTTCGCGCCTCCAATGAGTTGAATCGGACTTTTCAAGAAGGCGACTCGGCGAAACCAACGACTCGTTTCGATCTCCGCAGAGCCACACCTCACCCGAGGTGCTGCGGTAATGCAGGCCTCGCGCCCTTTCCCCCCGACCGAAGGAGCCATGGGCAATGCATTCAATACAGTGTACTGTACTAGTACGAGGTATCAAGCAGGCAAGCGACACGAACGCGCCGTTGGACGAAACCAAGGTCGATACTTCTGCACACACTGCTCCAATGTTCTAGTAAATTGGAACAACTCATGCCAACAAGGGTACAGTACCCGGATGATCGTCGCTGTGGCCGTCTTGCTCGTTGCCTTGCGTTTCGGGGCTGCATGCATGTTGCAGAATGCACCGACTAGACCTTGCCAACGGCAGAAGCCAGCAAGAGCCTCGTCTTACGGACCTGTCGCTCGCCAACCAATCACCGAACTGCCTTCGCACCATCTTGCTGATATTTGATTTCCCCGCGTACCGGGAATTGAACCGCCACTGGCTCAACCTATTGCTGATTCTGTTGCCACACTCTTTTATCTTCCGTACTATACTTGGCGGGCAGCTTGGCGGGATTGCGAGCACCAAGTGCCTCTTCTCATATTGCTATATTGCTCTTGCTGGTCTTCATGGATCGCTGGCGTGTCGACGCCAGTGCGATGAAAAACTTGTAGCTGAGTGGGTCGCGTGGCTCGCGCGTGCATTTGGCGCTCGTCTAGCATCCGCCAAGCATGGTTGCGCCTAAGTCGACGACGAACAACAAATGGCGCCAACGTAGATGGGCGGAGGTCGGCCAGACTGCGAGACGTGACGCCGAGGTTGCCATGGGAACGAACCAAGCTACGAATGCATGGAGGTGATTCGCGAAATTTGCAATACAATCGCGCGAGTGACGAATGAAATCTCAACGAATCGCGCGCGACCGTCGAGGTGGTCGGACCCTTTTGCCGTTCAGCAGCAGAATGACACTACCTACTTTTGCAACAGGGTAGTTCAATTCGTCATTGATACCCGTGGGATGCGGCGCCGAGCTTTTGATGCCGAGCGACAAGACGCAACTGTGCTTTGGCAAGGCTGTGAGAACCTGACTCCACGTTGCGGTTTGGTCGAGCGCAAAGGGTTTGGAAGCTTCTCGAGACGTGGGACACGAGCCAACGGTTCTGCAGCGCAGACAATTCGATGCTCTCACTTTGAAAAAGGAACGATGCCACACGGAAACGACCACGGCGGCGGCCAGAGCAACGCGACAGGGTGGCCCAACACGACCAAGCACCACGACGGCGGGCACAAAGTGCCCGAACCCCACGCCCACGGCGGCGCCCACACGACGGGCAACATGAGCGGCGGCGTCGGCAAGCAAGGCAACCATTTGGGCGGCAACCAAGGCGGTAGTGGCGGCAAAAAGTAGGGTCCTGTGACCCCAGAATGGTTGAATTCAGGAAGGATGATGTACCATGTCCCTGCCTGAACAACATCATGGGCTACATGCGATGATGGCGTGGCTAGAGTATTGAACGAGTCGTCGCGTTGACGCGGTCGCTTCGATAGGACATACACACGCATCTCCGCCATTCGGTCTTGCAAGTTGAGCTGGTCTCCTCGGCTAGTATCCGGATACTAGTAGGCCCGCCGATGCGGCTCCGGGTGACATCCCATGATGGGACGGCTAGTGACTCACTGGTTAATCATTGCGAATCAACTAGTATAATCATTAATCGTAGTTCCACGTGACTAACTAATGCGTAGTATGTTGTTAGTCAATCTGCTAGCCCCACTTCGAACCCGGCAAAATGCAGCCATTATTTCCACGCTTTGGCTT